AAAGAAAGAGGTTAAAGAGGAGTAAATGTGAAGGGAAAACGGTGTGACATTCGCACAATCGTCAGAACAGAGGACAAACATGACGCATGCAATTCATGACTTATACAATAACTAATGATGGAGACTCGCTCTTCTGTTTTGGTGTGCTCTGTGTTGTTCTGGAGTTAACTGAACTCATTCTGCAACCCGCATTTTTCTGACTACCAATTCAACTTCCATCACAATGCTCTCTAGATCTAATCTTAATAACACACGCCTCTTTTTAATGCTAACACAGAAAAATATTGCTCTGGATGTTTATAAAAACTATCTGTCCTTTAAACTTAGCCGCCTTTTAAACTAATTATTGCGAGTATGACTTTTGGTTATGGTATCCTGTCTGTCATCTTTTAGTCCAAATGCAATGTGGTTTAATCTTATAATAAAAAACTGATAAATAAAATATTACATCATTTTACTGAGCTTATCACATTGATAAAAATTGTATGTTATCTATCTATTCATCTGTTGCATGTTATAGTCGAATATGGGGACTGTAATTTGTTTCAATGAAAAATATCGAATATTCATCTATCGACGTGTTGTATTAGGAGTGTTTCCCTGTACATCATTCAAGGATTTTCTTTAATCGAACTTCAAGTCGTCAAAAACATCCATCTTCCATACCCAATCTCGTTGTAATTAAAAGTATATTCATTAGTGCAACATGATGATCATCAATCCAAAGTCATTGAAAATATTCATCCTATCATCACTCGGGGCTAAAGCTGGGATTTTTAAACCCAAGATCTATACATATGATGTCATGAAAGAGTGAACAATCTTAACACAAAGCAGAGTTTATCGGATAAAAATGAACACAACCGCACCTCTAACGACTGGGAGCCAATGAATGCTTCTCCATGATTCAATGTACAGGAACGTTCACTCTGCTCTATAATATAAAAGGGATTTACATCTCTTCAAATGTGTGTGCATACAAGGTTTATTAAAGCATAGAACTCAAAGAAAGGCTTCAATCAACAATCTTTATGAATTCATAGCCAATCAATATACCGGCAATGGTTGAACATTCAAACACTAAAGTAGGAATATTCATAAAATTGGAAAATCTCAAATTTTAAGCAAAAAAATAAAATAAAAAATAAGCTAATTGAATAAAAAATAAACAAAAATAAGTAGAAAACTCCATACTCTAATTCAAAACAGTTGAGTTGATAACCATTCATAACACCAGAATCATACTCCAAGTATTATAACATAAAAAAACATAAAAGGTTCAACAATTACTGAAAAATAAAACGCTAATATCCATACTGATCCAATTATTTTGCAGAACCCAAAGAAAGGTGGAACCCGACCCTACTCAATCCCCACCAGCCTTCTGATAAACGTAGGTGAGGCCACACTTACCGCAATAGTGCCTATCGAAATGATTAGCCATGAAAGTCCCGGCTCCGCATTCGGCATTAGGGCACTCTTTTCTCAGCCTCTGAACCTTCCCGGACTCATCCACCTTGTAAAACTGGAGCACGGCGAGCTTGACCTTCTTCTTCTTGTGCTTGATCTTCTTGGGCTTGGTGTAGGTCTTCTTCTTCCTCTTCTTTGCACCACCCCTGAGACGGAGGACAAGGTGAAGAGTGGATTCCTTCTGGATGTTGTAGTCGGCTAAGGTGCGGCCGTCCTCGAGCTGCTTCCCTGCGAAGATGAGGCGTTGCTGGTCAGGTGGAATGCCTTCTTTGTCTTGAATCTTAGCCTTAACATTGTCGATGGTGTCGGAAGACTCGACCTCTAGGGTTATTGTCTTCCCCGTTAGGGTTTTGACGAATATCTGCATCTTGGAGGCGGGTGAAGATGCGAAAGGGAAAATGAGGGCAGAAGTTAGCCGCTAGGTTTCTAATATAAGAGAAGTGTTGGTAAAATATGAGAAAGTAGGGTATTTTGAGGGAGATGAAAGTACGTAATTGCCCATGCTGCTTTTCACTTGTGAGCTTTACTTTTCAGATTGTTAGGAGCTGAAAGTAAACTTGATCCTCCAGTGTTATGTTGTTGTGTTTATTGATATTTGGGCCTTATAACCCACAGAATTCTCGAGCTTTTAAGTCTTGGGCTGTTATATCTGATCTGTGAACCTCACAATAACTATTGTATTATATTTAGGGTGTTCGATAAATTATTCATAAATTATTTGTATAACATTAATTTATATTATTTTATTAAACTTAATAAATGAGTATAAACAAAAATTTATGTTTATTTAATAAACGAATGAACACAAATATAAGTGTGTTCGATTAATTTATGTTCACGAATAAGCTCATTTGAAAGTTCGTTTAACAACTCATTTATGTTCACGAACATAAGTGTATTCAAATTCACATGACAAACATTTGAATACGGGCGACATTTGCCTTGCCTCCTTATTTCGACCGAAATTGATGAATATCAAATCTTCTTTTCAAGGTCAAAAGTGGCTCTCTCTTTCTCTTTTTCACGAGAATATTTCCTTGCTACAAGCTTACTTGCTCTGCAAGTACGCTGACTTTCCTTTTCCAATTCATAGCAACTTTTAAATTAAAAAACTATGTTTATTGAATTGTTAAGTTATATACACAAAAATATTCATAACGGCGCCTGTGGTCACCGGCACTTGTGTTCCATGTGCGTTGCTTGTATCCGCTTCATCTGCAACGATCACTGCTGCTGCATCTGCAAGGCCAAGTCCCACGTCATCTTTGTCACTAAGCTTAGGGCTTCCATCTTTGTGCTTTTGATCGCCAATGTCGATTTCAAATTGAGACTACCGTAATTATGGGGTTTGATATTGCTTTTGTCCATTTAATTAACCTATTCATTTGAATCTGTGTTCTTGGCTGACGTTCACTAACCCAAGTACAAATTCATCTGTTACTTATATATACACATACACGTACATATAATATCTTTGGATGGCAGGTGTCTTATCTTTGTGATTCTGGTTTTGTTACAGGCTTCAGGGGATTACACAAGGATGATCCATGATTTTTCTGTATTGCCAACTGAAGTAAGGGAAGGCCGGGTTCGTTCATATTGGTACCATGAGGATACACAAGCGTTTTTGATGATGTTGATCACTACAGGATGATCAAGGCCATGTGCAGGCTTTCTTTTACTGTATGTGACAATATGGAAGAGCAGACCAATGATGGAGTGAAGAGGCGGGGAAAGTTTAGGAACACTGAACACTTGAAAGCTCATTTGTTTCATCAACACATATTGGTTATGTGCAGCCTGTGTTCGGAAGGACGGAATCTCTAGCATTTTATATTACAGTTCTGAATAAAGTATGACGCTTGTGGAGCATTGTTCCTTGTTGATGAGTCAGTTGTTTGTCCATCAAAAAAAGTGTCGTGTATACATCAATTATCTTATTAGTTTCTTTTGGACGATGTAGGTGTTTATTTGTGAACAAAAGCTATATACAAGGGCACAGCTAAATCAACATATAAGCACGGGTGACTCAGAGGTGGATGGTACTGAGAGTGAGAGAGGTGGCTTCATGGGGCATCCCATATATGAATTCTGCAAGACCCCATTTTATGGGGACGTGTTATACTCGCACATGTCCACAGAGCACTATACATGTCATATATGCCAAAGGTAGTGAGTCTCTTCCTGGTATATATTTTTAGAATACAACTTAAAACAAGTGGGCTTAGTTTTACTTGTTCACTGTCCAATGCGGACAGCATCCGGGACAATATGAATATTACAAGAACTATGATGACCTTGAGGCAAGACGATTTCTATATTTCTTTTGCTTTCATTATTTTCTTTTTATCCACGTAAAGTTAATGGAATTTTGAAAATTGTGTGCCACAGATTCATTTTCGCCATGATCATTACCTATGTGAGGATGAGGCATGCCTAGCCAAAAAATTTATCGTCTTTCAGTCCGAAGCTGAACTAAAGGTGACTCTTTGGGGCATATAAATGGTGCTACTCTTTTTTATTATTTGAGTGTGTTCTTGGTAAAGCCCATATTTTCCTTTTCTCATATACATTCCCCCCTTTTTGTCCTTTCAGAGGCAAAATACCATCGAACATGGAGGTCGCATGTCTCGTGCACAGCGTACTGCTGCTTTGCAAGTATGTATCTTCCTGCTTGTTGTGGACGCATAAGTTGCATTTTCCCTATTTCATTCTCTCATATGTATCTTCCTGCTAGTTGTGGACGCATAAGTTGCATTTTCCTTATCTCATTCTTTGTTGTTTTGTTAATTGATTATACTTTTCCAGATACCAACAAGCTTTCGATTTCATCGAAGAAATGATGATCATCGTCGTGGAATGGAGCAAATGTCTTGGCATGAGCCATCTGATGATGACTATCAACTTTCCATGACCATTGAGGCAAGTTTGGAGGCGACCAGTGATCCACCAGGATTATCTACTACGCAGGTGATCTCTTATCATGGAGACATAAATGATATTGAGCCGCTAGTTCAGCCTTTTGAATTATTATCCGCAACAGATTCTGAATCATCTTCTAGATACCTTCAAGCATTGGGGGGAGGCTCTAGGGGTGCACCTTTGCAAGAAACTTATTTTCCTCCTCTCTCCACTCCTGCCAGCAACAGTCAACAAATTCCTAAACACAGACCTGACGGCCTGCCTTTTAACACCATGGCAGCGCATCTTCGGCGCAGAAGAATGGGAGTACAAATGTTTTGAGTTTAGCCCAAGAATGGCCAGCAACAAGTCACAGGCCCATTCAAGCAGCCAGTAGTTCAAGTCAGGTTAGACCAGCAACAAATGTTGCATCTACACGTACAACCTCAATTGGAAATAGTAATGAATTTCCACAGTTGAGCTATGCAAGTTCGAGTCATGTTCAGATTCAGGTTCAGTCTCGTCCCACAACAGCAGATATATTAAAAGCATCTGGTTCTCGAATGAGTGCAGCGAACACAAATAGGATCAACCATTCCTCATCAGCTCCAAATCTTGCTGATGGTTAGTCACATCTTGTTCTTGACCTGGCTAGACTCTGCCGTGATTCTCAGAAGCAAAAGGAGCTAATTGAGACCTATAATGCTAGTCTGCAAGGCAATGGTCTGCAAGTGAATGGTGAGGCGCAAGGCCGTGGCTGGTTTAAGTACAATAATGCATCTAAGAAATGGAAAGGGAAGTCTCTGAATACTACAGGCTGTAATTCAAAGGATAAAGTGGCCGATTGTATTATTAACCAGTGTATGCAAATTGCAGTCAAGTTATAAGCCTTATGAGGATGAGGTGGAGATTTTATAGAAGGATGATTACCGCACTGCTAAAGGAAATTCATGGTTAATTTTTAATGAACAGCAGTTTAAACTGAATTCTACCAATAAACCGGCTAAACTCACGTTATAATGCTTTCAAAATAAATAATTCACGAGATAATGCACTCCCCATATTATTTACTGAAATAGGGTGAAATCCACAGTGTGGCCGTAGGTCGCCATGCCTTCCGGGCGACCTACTACGTCGCCATGGCTTCCCGGCGAGCTGCACAGAGATAATGGACGTCTGCATGTGCCATGCACGTCCCCAACACCCCAACACAGGTCGCCATGCACTCCCCACTCCCAGCGACCTACAAGGTCGCCATGCACACACAGCGACCTTGTAGGTCACCAAGCAGTCCCGGCGACCAAGCTTGGTTGTTTTCATGCTGATCCTCGTCATATTACTTGCATGCTTGGTTGTTTTCATATCGCTGGGAGTGCATGGCGACCTGTGTTGGGGTGTTGGGGACGTGCATGACACATGCAGACGTCCAAGGAAGCCCATGGCGACGTAGTAGGTCGCCCGGAAGGCATGGCGACCTACGGTCACTGTGGATTTTACCCTAATTCAGCAAATAATATGGGGAGTGCATTATCTCGTGAATTATTCATTTTGAAAGCATTATATCATGAGTTTAGTCCCAATAAACCCCTACAAAAATTGGGGGTCAAAATGATTCATCATCTGCTAAAGTTGGACCAGGGGATGGCGGTTGGAAGTAGCAAGCAATGAAAGAAAACTTCGAAACTTCACCAATACGGCTTGGTAATGATTCAATGAACTTTACAAGTACGGCTTGGTGATGGTTCAATGAACTTTACGAGTACGGCTTGGCTATGGTTCAATGGCAGCGCTATTGGATCCAAAGGATTCTGAGCCAAACCCTGAACCTGAAGCACTAGATAACAAGCTTGATAGTAGCCAAAACTCCAGTGGAGCATTGCCTGTACGAGGTGTTTGGAAGAAGGGAGGAAGTAAGAAACTCTTTTCATAAGAGATACATCCAGAGGGAGGACAACTTTTCTTGGGAAAAGACCTAAGTTATTTAAAAGTGACCGAGTTTTGCAGGATGTTAAATGCCAGCAATAGATGTACGAGAGGGGATATTAAAGTGCGATTAGCAACTTGTTTACCCATTAGGCAACAAAAATCCAGCATCACTGAAACAGAATTGCGAGGTCAAAATGAAAACACACAAAACCAAAGCAGGATTCCAAAAGTTTTTACTTATTTGTAAGCAACATACATAGATTACTGGAAGTTTACCACCAAGGTTACACATTTGCGTGCGAGTTCATATACATTGATAACAATAACTTGTAGAACGTGTTGAATGTTATTAAGACATTTACAGAATGAATGATGGCTAAAAGACGCTACAACGCCAAAATACCAGGCTGAGCTTCGACATTCAAGATCCATCCAGACAACGAAGGGAACCGAGGGATTTTAAAGTATTGCACAGAGGTTACGGCTGAGTAATCTTATATGTAGCACAACCAAAGGTTTTCTCGCTACCGTAACACATATACAGAAACCCATCGTCCTCTTTGTACGATTCATAAACAGAGTCCATAAGAGTAGCTGTAAACACGGGTTGTAGCTGAAAGCTCAGAAAATGTTCAAACACGATAGAATCATTTTGAAAGAAATGTAACATTATCTTATCGTGACTTACCTGTTTGTGGTAATGTGTCCTTCACGAACACAAAGAGTGCTTTCCCGGGGATCAGACGAAGTCTCGAGCTTAAGATATGAATGAATTGTCCGACAGACATGTCCCGGGGAACCAGATACCTATAAATCAAACAGTTTAGCACAAAATTGATCCGCCCTCGTATCATTTAACAAGAAATCAACACCAACCCAAGACTTAAGTTAAAATTTTTATATGCTCCTAAGTGATAATTTTTTAGCAATTATAGAATTTGTGCTACAATTGGTTTATTGCATTAGGTAGAGTTTATTCCTCTACAATAAAAACGCACAATTAAGGGCAAATTGTTGTTGGCCAAGGCTGAAACTTACTTTTGCTTTTCCATTTCAGGAAGATCTGATTTTGAGTATCTTTCCACAACCACCTGCAAAAATGAGAGGAAATAAAAGTAAGAGAGCCGGCTTTTAGCAATTACCAGCTAATTCTTTTTAATAGAACCCATAATCCATGAGGGTAAGAAGGCATTAAGTTCGTCTAATTTATAAACAGCATTAAGTCTTGATAACAAAATAAATAAATAAATAACAGAAATTTTGTAATATTTATAAAATAAAATATAAAACCCGAAAGGAACAAATCAGGAAACAAAAGGGTTTGGCCAAAAGTAACGTGGAAACAGACTGAATCAGAAAAATTTACAGGGACGCGATTGGGATATTTGGCGATGATATCGCGGGATTCTTCGAGCCTTTGGTCTGCGAATTAATTTAGAAGAAAGAAGAAATTAAGGAAAGAAGAGGAACATATTTAGAAAGAAAGGTATTCTAAGAGAAGAAACAAACCGAAAGTGAATTCATCCTTAAAAGATGGAATCTTTCCCATTGCAACGCAGGTGGATGGAGTGTGTTGTTGAAGATGGAGACGATCTTTTGTATACGAAACCAATATACACGGAAGTAGATAAGAAATTGACACGGAACGCTATCTATGTAAAGAACTCAACCATCTAATTTAATTTAACCTATATAAATTTAACTGTTAGAAACTTAAACAACTTGCGGGGATAGCTCAGTTGGGAGAGCGTCAGACTGAAGATCTGAAGGTCGCGTGTTCGATCCACGCTCACCGCAAACAATTAATTTTTTTCAACCTAAACAAACAGTAAGCGGTTATTAATTCTTAACATATCCATTTTTTTACTATAAATTTTCACGTTTGAGGCTAGATTTCCTGTGTCCATTGAGTTCTCCGCTTCTTTAGAGGTCTGTCTGCTCTGCTCTGCTCATCTCAGCTCAACCCTCTCTCCTCTCGCAACCGAAGACTCAGATCCGTACGGAATTGTTTCCCCAGGTTACCACTTCTGCCCTTTCATTTATATTTTTCTGTTTATTGCTTTGCTTCGTAGTTTTTGTTTGGAGATCTTGCTTTGTTGTTTGTAGTAGCCGCGGAAAAGAATGCTTGTTTTATCTGTTTGTCTCTTTTATAGATAAGGTTAATAGAAACATTCGCAGATCTGTGCGGTTTTCTGTTAGTTTTGGGGTTTTTAGCATTTTAGTTTCTGAAGATATATGGCGATTACTTTTTTTACTTCAAAAGTTAGTTCAGATTACTTTTGAGTAATATCTACTGGATCTGTAACTTATTTCTCTTCTATTATCTTACGTCATTATGAATGCTTTAAATTATGTTTAAGATTTGTGATTTTACCACGCTGATTTAGATGTGTTTGTGCATTAATCGTGTGCAGGCTTACAATAGAGACCTTTCTATTCACATCCGAGTCAGTGAACGAGGGTCACCCTGACAAGCTTTGTGACCAGGTCTCTGATGTAGTGCTTCATGCCTGCCTTGCTCAGGACCCTGATAGCAAGGTTGCCTGTGAAACGTGCACCAAGACTAACATGGTCATGGTCTTTGGAGAGATTACCACCAAGGCCAATGTAGACTATGAGGATTGTCCGAGACACATGCCGTGCTATTGGATTCGTTTCTGATGATGTGGTTCTTGATGCTGACAAGTGCAAGGTCCTTGTCAATATTGAGCAGCAGAGTCCTGATATTGCCCAGGGTGTGCATGGCCACTTTACGAAGCAGCCGGAAGAGATTGGAGCTGGTGACCAGGGCCACATGTTTGGTTATGCTACTGATGAAACCCCTGAACTTAAGCCTCTTAGCCATGTTCTTGCAACAAAGCTTGGGGCTCGTCTTACTGAGGTTAGGAAGAATGGAACCTGCCCTTGGCTAAGGCCTGATGGTAAAACCCAGGTTACTGTTGAGTACTATAATGATTATGGTGCTATGGTTCCGGTTCGTGTTCACACTGTCCTCATCTCCACTCAGCATGATGAGCATGTTATAAATAATGAAATTGCTGCTGACCTCAAAGAGCATGTTATAAAACCTGTTATCCCTGAGAAGTACCTGGATGAGAAGACAATCTTCCATCTTAACCCATCTGGCTGCAAGATCATTATTGATACGTACGGTGGCTGAGGAGCCCATGGTGGTGGAGCCTTTTCCGGAAAGGATCCTACCAAGGTCGACAGGATTGGTGCTTACATTTTTAGGCAGGCTGCTAAGAGCATTGTAGCAAATGGCCTTGGCCGTCGGTGCATCGTGCAAGTTTCCTATGCAATTGGTGTGCCTGAGCCATTGTCCATCTTTGTTGACAGCCATGGAACTGGAAAGATTCCGGACAAGGAAATCCTCCAAATTGTGAAGGAGAACTTCGACTTCAGGCCTGACATGATCACCATCAACCTGGATCTCAAGAGGGGTGGCAACAACAGGTTCTTGAAGACAGCTGCCTATGGACATTTTGGACGAGACGACCCAGATTTAACCTGGGAAGTTGTTAAGCCCCTCAAATGGGAGAAGCCGCAATCTTAAAACAAGCTTTGCCAATCTTGGCTGCTCACTGCTTGCTTATCCATAATGCTGAATAATGATCCTTGTGTTTTCTAATCAACATAAGACTTAGCCTATTCATATTTACCCCTTTACTATTTGTTCTCTTATCATGTTTTACTTCTGATCTTATATAACATAATATATATTTCTCTCAATTTCATGATTTGCAAATACAGTGAATGTGGACAGGACACCAGCAGTTTGTAAGATAAACTAAGTAATGTAGGAATGAGGATGCTGGAAAAGCCTCATTTGGTATTGGTATCATAGACATTAATGTGTACTAAACTCATCCTAAGAATTCACCTTTAGGATATTTATTATATTTTTGATTGTTTCAAGGAGTTGATATGATCTTCAAGTGAGAGACGACAACAACCGAGATTGTTGAGCAATGATTGAAGCAGTTGAAGGGCTCTGTTCCAAAACAATTTGGTATCCATCTCCCATGTTATCCATCCCAAGGCTCAACAGTTGCCAAAACAGCCCACCGGCACACGATCCCCCACTTCTGGCACTGCTGTAGATAGCATTGTAAATCCTCTGGAAATACTCGTTTCTCTTCTCTAAGCTGTACCCTGGCAACTTAAAAGACTTGCCAAACTCTCCAATCACAAGTGGTTTCTTCAGCACCGAGTTGCAGTCCAGAGCATGTGCTTCAATCCACCTATCTACAAAACCAAGCTGGGCCTCCTCGCTCATATTTGTCGATGGTAACCTGCAATTATTACATCTAAATCAAAACAATAGAACAGGGGATCTCCAACGTGTGAAATGAACTAGAGAAATGGTGATATTACCATTGCTCAGGGTAGATATGGATAGTTGCGAAATCGACCTCGATGATCTGGTTATCAGAAATGAAGGCAGTCCCGATGGGGTAGTTATTCGGGTTGTATTGTTTCTTCTCGGGCATTGATTCCCCATAAAATCCTTCGAGTCCTATTTCCAGTAGATGATGATTGTCAATGGACTTAACATGTGCAGCCATTTCTTTTATCCAGCTCTGTAGATTAAATTAAGCAAATTATTAGTACCACAAACTATTAGGGGAAAGTTCAACAACTTACAGAATTCCAAACAAACAGAGAACAAAAACAGCAAACTTGTCTGTCACTACAAAACATCAATCCAGGAATCTGATTCTAAATTACTCTTTGAGAGGTTTCTTCAGATGATTCCCTGTTTAGTGTCATGTGTGTATGCTATGGACCTAAAGCCAAAACAATATTTTCCATCGCTAGTCAATTTTATCCGTGACGGTTACCCTTCTTCTAATCCGCCCATGCGAAATGGGTTTTATCTTTTTAGCTGGAATGAATTGAAATTAAGTTTAAATTTTATCGGCAGTAAAAAGTAGGATTATTCTCTTTAGATATTTTAAGTTCAAGTAACTGCGTTTGTTTATAGACATAGTCAAATGATTAATAAATATTTTGAACATATTACTTTTTAATTACACCAAACTATTTAAAAAACACGAAACAACTAAGGAAAATTAACTTGAAAAACAAACCTGAAGATGAGCTCCAGATGGTTCACTGGGGCAACGAGGTTCGTTCATAAGTTCCCAAGCAAATATGGTAGGATCGTCTTTATATGTCACTTCAGTAATCGTGTTGATTCTGGTTAGCACTGCCTACAAATCAAGTACAACCGCCGGCTAAATACAGTGCAGAAAATCCCCTCAAAAGGGAGAGAAATGGGGTTTCATCCAGAAAATCTAAAGCTGTAAACCAATGTATACCTTAACATGATCCTTGTAGTATTGTTTGACGATGGAATCTGTAAAAAAATCATCTTCGTTTCTCAGGTTCCGACCGCGTTGCTTTGCCCATTGAACGTATTTATCTTTTCCTCCGTAATCTTTGAAGTTATTCACCAAACTCATAATCAAGTGAATCCCATACTTATTAGCTTCTGCTACGACAAAATCCAGTCCCTGCAAAATTATTTAACAATCTAATACGAATAAACATACCCTTTTCTTTGTAATGTATAAAACTGCTGTAAAATGAACAGTTTTAAGTGCTTTCATACCTTGAACACGTCTTCATTGTACGAACCAGGAGAAGTCTGCAGAGGCTTGTAATCACCATCGTTAAAAGCCCACGTCCTAGCTACGTTCATGCCATACTTGGAGGCTTCTCGAAACACATCGGTGACCTTACTTCTCGAAGAAGGGTCGGATGCAAACATCATCAACCAGTAAGCATTGAAGCCATTTATGTAAAAAGGCTTTCCGTTCACGACAAACTTAGTTTCCGTCGTTTGAACAAAGCCATTGCCGATGGTTGCGGCAGCTGCAGCTGCAGCATAATGAATTTCACGGTGGATGTTAATCGTCAGCGTGAGGACTAACGGGACGATAAAGCTGTTGAACCAACGACTTGCCATCATATTCAGGACTTGGAAAAAGGAAAACTTTCGTACGGAGACTGGTAGTCAATGAAGTACCAACACCAGATGTAATAGAAAAGGAGATGGAATGGAAACAGATATATAATGAGAATATAAACCGGAGCTTAGGTTGGAGTGCTGGCATGGTTTAAAATTGAGACACCAACTTATACAATACAGTATACGTACATGTATACTGGATTGTGTGACACCTCTGGCGTCTATCATCGGTTGGGTCGAGTTGAACTTTTAACCCACACAAATTCGACCTAAAAATTAAATCACTTCACTCGTATATGAACTTAGGATGATTTCATTTTACTCTACACTTAAACAGATTTTTGAAGTTAAAATTTATTTAACCTAACATGGCATATATATATATATATATAAAAAATTATTTTTATTATATAAAATGAAGACTTAATTGAAAGATAATATACAAAAATATTATTGTAATTATCTTTAAGTATATAAGAGATAAATATAATATTATGTTCAATTGAATTTTTATTTACCATAAGCTCGAATCCACTCAGTCCGGGCAAGAGGGGCACTTGCCCAGGGCCCCTCTTACCCATGGCACAAAATTATAAATTCACATATAATTAAAAAATGATAAATTATCTATTTAATCACCCTTCTATTATTTTATTTTTGTTTTGGACATCCAATTATTTTATTTTTTTTAAAATCATACCTTTATATTTTATTTTATTTTTTGTTACCTTCTATTAAAAAATTAACAGTGATGTTTATGTGACATTTTAAATTATTTTTTTATTTTTCACTTAATTATTCTTTTTTTTACATGACGAATAAGGTTAAAATCTAATATGTATCCTCTTAAAAGAGGATCATGCTTGTTTATGTGAGTAATTTGGCGTTTAATATTTTTTTCGATGTTTTGGGCTTTTAATTTTTTTTTTGATGTTTTCTATTTAAAATTTGATGTATTTATTAGATAATTTATTTAATATAATAAAAAATAACTTACAAACAAATTTATTTAGTTTGCTTGTTCTTAGGATTTAATTTTTCGATACTTGTTATTAGGAGCCTAATTTCTATGTTCATCACAGGTCACTAAAATCTCATAAACGAGTCTGACTCGAATCTAACTCTCCTTTAAAAAAGGACCCCACTTAAACTCATATTTTCATATAAAAATTGACCTGGTCGAATCAAATCAAAACCTATCAAATCTGGGTCAACATGGTCATCCTATACATGTCCACGGATGTATGAGAAATTGAGAATATATATATTTCTTTAAAAAAATCGTTGGAGACTTAGAATTCAATATTCTAATTGTTTCCATAATCATTCGAAGTTTAGTTCTTATTCTTAAATGAACATTTATGGATGCATGGTATAGAGAACTACATGACTCCATTACCATAGAAAAAAGAAGAGGTTTTTGACAAAATATTTTATATTAATATAATCATGAATTTAATTTATATACTTATATTTAATATTTAATTTTTCTCAATATAAATAATAATAATTAAATTAGTTAGATTACTGGAAAAAAATACTAAATATATTACATTAAATTCCACTACAAGACTATATATGTTGTGCATGAATATAATTAATTTAGTATTTTTAAACTCTTTAGTTTAATCATATTCTACATTAAACATGTTAAGCTGGTGTTGCTGAATATAAACATATAAGATAGGGTTTTCTTGAATTACAAGGGACTAACCATAATAAATGGATGACAGAATAACAAGATTTAGATGCCTGAATTATTTGGTCATGCATGCAACCATCTTATCTGTCTCATTAACCAAATTTATTTCAATTAACTGCCCGAAAAACGACTTGCCAACTTCACTCTCCATGTTTTTCTTATAAAAACAACATCTTTCATAAATCCCAGCCTAATCATTCACGTCTCCTTTATTACCATATTAATTTGTAACTTTATAATTTTATCATATATATATATATATTATTCAAACACAATTTCTTTAATAATAACGTAGGTGTAATGTAATGCATAGAAGTGTAACAATATTTTAAGATAATGATATGTAACATTCTTGTCCTAAAAAAATTATTCAGATAGATCATCCGAAATGAGATCATATATAATTCGAATATATGTACATGGTGAAATTATTAATAATGTTTGTGGGTAATAATTATAACCTCCACGGCTCTACAGGAATGTCAGTGTCCAACATTCAAATATGATGTAAAAAGGAATAGCAATTAAGCTGAAAGACAAACTTTATTGTTTTCCTCGTATAATTAAGACCAAACAACTTTTTGACGTTCATCCTGAGAAAGAAATTACAACAATATCGTTGCCTGTCAAAATCCAATTGCTATTACGTATTGCGTTTTGGCACGCAAAACCTAATCAGTAGGAATAATGATGATGGAAGTTGGTATTTTTTTTTTTTTGGTTACAGATGGAAGTTGTTTTTATACATTGCCAAAGTTATAAACAAATTAATAGAATGAATAGGTAAAGAAGGGGTGTATGTATATATCGAGTAAGATAAAGGATATGATCTATTGTATTGATGCATTTATTGAGAAACTGGGTAGTTTGGTGGCTGCAATTGCCATTCGCCAAGGGGCGTTGTCCTAAGATGGTGGCACCTAGGGTTTGCATTTGCAACCCTATGTTTGTTTTCTCTTGTTTTAAATGCACAATTGGAACCTATCACTTACTTTCGATGGGTGCCCATAACTCCCCTAATCATGCTTCGTTCTCTTTTTTCTTTACCTCAAGATTTTAATTTTCCATTATATTTCTGAGTATAAAGATTGGGTGCATAATAAAAACCTTTTAAGTTCTAAAAATATAAATTTATAGGTCTATTTGGATTACACTACTTAAAAAGGATAAGATAATCATAAATCTTAAATATAGATTTATTTATACATTTACTTGTTATTTGGATTACGCTAAAGAATGAATGGAGGCAAACATATAATTTATTTCGAATGTTGCAACACATTATGGTTACCATTTTCTAAGCTACATGCTATTGATTAAACAAAACTAATGAAAAATTTATTTATTTTATCCAAATAATTATTTCAAAATCCACGGTCAGCGGTGAATAAGAGACCGGCCCAGGATCTGTTTGCCACTGAACCCAAATTAAGACCCATTACAGAGGAAAATAAAAAAGGCGTGGGGTGAGAGAGGCTCGAACTCTCGACCTCAGGATAACTCAACAAGCTATGAGACCTACGCGCTAGCCATCTGCGCCACCACCCCTGATGTTTGAGGAAATCGGTTTGCCTTTTAAAACCGTAAAATAATCCTTAAATTAAACACGACTTTGTCTATATCAGTAGTTTCCTCTTGTACTCGCCATATTTGGTTATATCAAACACAACTTGAAAAGGTAAGACAGGAACAACTTAAAATGTGTATAATATGAAAAAAGAATCCGTAGCTTATAGACAACTAAGCATATGAGAGGAAAGTAGAAATTTTGGGTTTCCTTCTTTACAAATATTCACACTTTCTTTTGCTAATTATCGAAGAATCTGTTAGCAGCAGCGCGGTCTTTTTAACCTTCATTAGAAAGGAAAGGGTAGCATTAATTAACACCGCTTATCACATTTCACAGCATTTGGAATTCCATTTAACGGTGTTTTTAAAAGATTCTACTGCTTGCCATAGAAAGTGAAAACCAAACCACAGCCATGTTATTTGATTAATATCATTGGGGAAGGGCATTAGGATCACAAAAGGTTTAGAGATACCCTGGCCCTCTTACAGAAAAAAAATATTTGTATTTCAACTGCTAGAGTTTGTGATCCAGATTTCGTTATGTTTTGTGTCCGTACAACTACATATATAATTAGGATTCTAAGGTTTGATGTATCTTTGCGAAATCCTTTTGTATTTGCTGTTTTTATAGTTAAATTTCTCATTTTTTTTACATTATTTTTTCTGATAGGATTTTCACATAAATATGTATGTTCTTGTTTTGCAATCTGTTATCTGTAAAATGAATAGTTAGTATTGTTCGTTTTTTTTTTCATGAGTCTTACCCACCTTAGAATGTAGACATTTTTCTTGCCTTTCAAGCCATGACCATTTATAATATTTTTCTGCTAAAAACCCACAAATAAAATACAATTTCCATTATACCAATGGAATACAAGAACATGAAGTCATGTGTGAGCAGTTGGTTGGGTTACTTGGGTACGGAAGTTGACTTGAAAGATGGCATAACCCATGTGATTTTAGCTGTACGGTTCCTTAAGATATGCCATGATATATGGTTCTGCTTATCAACCAAAATAATCATTTTTCTTTGTATTTCTTCTTAAATAAGGCACCGGTACCTGCAGGTTCATGGTGGTTGCATGTAATGTGACTGCTGCTAGCGAAACCTGTCTAAACATGAATTTTAAATGTGTTTTTAAATGGATTGACTTTGATTTTATAGTTGCAGAGTTTCCTATTCACTTGTTTTCTGAAAAGTCATAGTTGCGAGAATTAGGAAATTGAGTTCAAATTCAAAGCATATAGTTTCTGCAATAGAAATTATTTAATTTTCTCCTGTAATTTTATATTGCCTGCTTGACAATTTGCTGCTCAACTGTACAATTACGTACCATGAAACTATAATGCGTTGAATTTACAGATAATCCCAGAAATTTATTGGAAATAATAGTTAGAGCTGGTGACCCTTTGATTTGTTTCTCTTATTGCTATCAAGCATAAGAGAATTTTAGGTTATGATCATCTCTTCAATAAATACATGTGTTGTTGAAAAAATAAATAAAAACCAGATGTATAGCATTTAGCCTGCCAAACTTATATTCACCCTGAGATTGAATAAATTGTAGTAACTTTTATTTCACCATTTATGGTAGTAGATTGATGGAAATATTATCAACTGCAGAACCAAGATTTATAACTACTGTCACATGGGTTTGAATATAAAAATAGGTTTCCCATATGACATTATGAATTACGATGATTTATTCTATCATTTAAGGAATAAGGATAATAGCATAATATTTAAAATCTCTATCAATAATTTTTCATAAGCTATCAGCAGGGTCTATCACTGATTATAAATATCTAGGTGAAATGCATCGTTGGCATCAAACTCGTCCTTCGCTCACATTCTCCAACGTAAAAGAAAAAGAAAATGAAGAGTGCCTATCTATTTACTACTGCTATTCTCATTGTGTGTTTATATTTCCCCCCTAAATTTCACGTAGCAGATGCAGCTCATACTTGGCTCTCAGCACATGCAACATTCTATGGTGGAAGTGATGCTTCCGGCACAATGGGTAAGTTTCCTCTTTTTTAATCCCTTTTTCTTTCTTATTTTTGGTTCATTTCATTGAATATGTTGGTTTTTGCAGGTGGAGCTTGTGGTTATGGCAATCTCTAAACAGACTGTTATGGAACAAACACGGCCGCACTCAGCACAATTTTGTTTAACGACGGCAGGTCATGTGGAGGCTGCTATCAGATAACTTGCGATGCAAAAAAGGTACCCCAATGGTGTCTCAAGGGTAAATACATTACCATCACCGCCACCGACTTCTGCCCTCCGAATTACGCACTCCCGAATATCGATGGTGGTTGGTGTAATCCACCCCGACCACACTTCGACATGGCTCAACCCGCATTCGAGACCATAGCGAAATACCGGGCTGGAATTGTACCAATCCTCTAAGGAGGTATGTCCACTGTTCTCATTCTGCCATAAAAAAAAGAAAAAAAAAAGAACTTGAAAACTAAGCACTGTTTGACCATTGCAAATATGAATAATTTGTTTTCCAGGGTTACATGCAGGAGAAAGAGAGGCATGAGATTCACCATCAATGGAAGGAATTATTTTGAGCTGGTGCTGATATCAAACGTTGGGGGTGCTGGAGAGATTTCAAAGGTATGGGTAAAGGGTTCCAAAACCAATAAATGGGAAAGCATGTTGAGGAACTGGGGTGCCAATTGGCAGAGCTTAAGCTACCTAAATGGTCATACCTTATCTTTCAGGGTCCAAGTCAGTAATGGCAAGACTCGAACTGCACTTAATGTGGTGCCTTCAAATTGGCAATTCGGTCAGTCTTTCAAAAGCAATGTTCAAATTTAAAACTTCCCATATAATCTCAGATATGTATTTGTTTATGTATTTTGCTTATTACATTTACTTCCAAGCTGTACTATCATATTCTCATCACTTAGGTTGTGGCTTGGCGTTTTACTGTTGAAGCCCAACAAGTGATTTGTTTACAAAATATACTCTGTTGCAACGGTACTGATGATTGCAAGTTTGCAATTAATGTTCCAAATTTTCATTTATGGTTTTTGCTCAACCGGAATGATGGAAAAATTCTGGCTGAAATGAGCCATTAAATCTAAACCAATGAACAAAAACTGAATTGAAGTTGAACCAGTGTGACCTTTATATTATACACAAATTATAAATTTAATTATTGTTTTTTAAATGACCATTTCATACCCAATCATTTAACCATATTATCCTTATATTATTTTAATCAAGATTAAAAATTCGAAATTTTAAAAGTAAAAAAAAAATTAATCAAATTAGAGGAAATAAATTAAATCCACTACTCACATGGACTAATTATTGACTGAACAGGCCACTGATAATCTATTCTTTGTTATCAGTAACAGCATCCGTACAAAAAGAAATCAAAAGCATCTCAAATATGTTTACAGGACTAGGATTATAGTATTTAAGCATAACTAGTTAGAAAAAGAAAACCGTGTCTCAATCATCATTAAAATTGACGATGGTACAACAGTCACAGCAACAGTTTTATAAAATAAATTGACCTTTTGTTGCCAAGTGAACATTTTCGTGCACAAGTAACATTCCAGTCAACCACTGGACATGTAGCTTGAAAGTTCAATCTGATATGCTGCTTGTGTAATTGTGTTATCTCCGCATTACTCGTTGGTGTTCTTGTTTCCGTAAGCGCTCTAGCATAAACTGATCGGTTGCGGCTTGCCTACTTCCTGCTGCATCATTGCTTGCATCAGTCGGGTTGGAGCCAGCATTGTCATCCTGTGAGTTTCTGTCCTTGTATAGCTCAGGATGTTTTGTAAGTTCAGGGAAGGAAAATGGGGTGACAGATGAACACGATGTACATCAAGAAGCAAAATCGAAACAAACAAACCTAAAGATTGCAATTCATAACAATAGATGGAAGAAAACCCACTAATCCCAACTAGCAAGTTATTTGCAGAGAAAATCAAAATGAACTAAAATCAATGACCTCTAATCACAAAAGTGTGAAAGAAAATGTAAGCACCCTTTTCTAAGTTTTTCGGCGTAATCCCTGCCTCGCTGGAAGTAATCAGCACTGTAACTTGAAGGGATGTTAACTTCTGATTTTGACCGTCCCGTGAGCTGCTTTTCCTGAAGAAGCTTTTTGGCACTGTTTCCTCTATACTTCTCAACTTGAATCTGCCATCAAAGAAACCATTCTGATACAAAATCAATTAATATATTACAGAAGAGGGTGGCACACAGCATTTAGTTTGTCTAAGATATTATATCACGTTTGCTTAGCAGTGCAGCAGCAAAACAAGTTCTGCTCAAAAAGCTAAAATTTCCCTATATTGAAGAATAGGATTCTGGGATCAAGATCCAGTAAAGATTATGTTCTTGAAATGAGATATTAATAAAACGCATACTCAATAGACAGTTGAACTTCAGCAATCCCGGTAGTCCATTGCGTAGAACTTTCTTCCGGATTCAGTTTTTTCACCTGCAAGGAATAAACCAAGAAGTAAAAACTATAAACCCTAACTCGAAACCGGTGTTGCAGTAATCAACCAAACACCAGATATAAAAAGTTCATGAGAACAACAATGAAATATGTTTGCAAATGATAAGGAAATTCAAAGCTCACTTTAAGATGCTCAGGAATTTTGTACAATTCATCTTCGGCACGAGTTAAATCATTCTCAACTTCATTTTTCTCATTCATGTTCCTTCCTCTCTTCTTTGCAAATTCTTGCTCCACATATTTTATCCTTAATTCGCAAAACGATTACAGGAAAGATAAAAACAAATACACAACTAGACAATCCAGAAACACACACACACACACACAAAATGGGAAATGGTAAATGAAAAGGCATACATGTTTGGATCCTCAACAAGGACAGCGGTTTCTATAACGAAAGTATCCTGAAGCACAAGCTCCTCTTTTTCTCCATCAGCATCGCCCTTTTCGGTAACTTTAGCTACGACGCCTCCTGTTTGCACCTTAGGAATCGCAGGGATTCCTGATTTCCTCTCTCTCTCTCTGTTTCTGCAGGAAATTCACTTCCTCTAACGCCAACCTATGCATTCAAATCCAAAAAAATGATTTTTTTAAAAAACCCTAACTTAGTTTCTAAAAAATTAAAAAGGGGGGGAAAGACTACCGTCTTTCTTCTTCATCGTCTGATTTGGCAGCTGGATCATCTCCGTCGTCTTCTAGAAAGCTTCTTTTCCTGAAATTCTTGTTATTCTTCTTCAGCATTTCAAATTCTAAAAAATTGTATCTCGATTTCCTTCTCCAACGTCAGGTTCAAATTACCAATTTCTCTGCTTTCACCACTTCACCACGGTCCACAACCAAATAACGCCATCACAACCCAGGCAGGCACCGCCGACAACAATGGGTAACAAATTTAAAAAACTACGTTTAAACAACCACCAGCCCAAACCCAGGGTTTTATTTATTGAACCTGCCTAGACGCCCAATGTAACCCACTTCTGGCTTGAATGTCCATTCATTGGCCCATTAGTTTACGGATAAATTGAAAATTAATTTTAACTTATCAATCAGCAGTGATATGCTCGGTTTTTTTATTAAAAAAACATATAATTATAATATAAATAAATAATTTCTATAATTTATAAAATAATTATAAAATATTTGAATTTAAATTAAAAATTACATAAGATAAAAATTAAATATAAAATTTCGTTTATAACGTAATTGAATAATATCTTTGAAGTATATACAATTATATGATGTGCTAGACCCAACTCCACTTGTTATTACATACAAAATGTTAGATTTAACTTCCTTTAATTCAATAAATTTTCTTCAACGGCTGACAAATGAAAATAACACGTAGTACCATCACTTGAGCTTTTCTTAGGAGAAAGTTTGTTTCTCCCTCCACTGTTCTTATAATAAATCAAACTCTTCTTTTAGGATTAAATACATAAAAATATATTTGGCAAGACTGTGCAAGGAGTTGTACCTTACGAATACACAAATGATGCTCTCATTATTGGACGGGGCTTTGAGTTCTTAAACTATTAAAAGTTACAAAATAATCACTTGACTATTCATATATTCCAAATATGTAAGAAGGCAGTTATCATTCATGTGATTGTGCAACCGAACATATCTGAAAATGCTGAGACTAAGATTCTATCTTTCATTTCTGTAATGGATAATTAATATCAACCCTTGCTTGAAAAATATTTCATTGTTGAGGAAATTGTTAAAAGGTGACAATAAAAAGAAAAATGAAGGGAAAAAAAAACATTATCCAGAAGACCTCCAAATTCTTCCCTCCAATGAAACAACCATAACTGAAACATCATCGTGATACTTACGCCGATCTCCATGGGGTATGTCGAGCAATTCGTGAAAATCCATTCCTGCAGAAATCGACAAATTCCCATCATTAACATATGTGAAAAACAGAAGTTCAAATTAAGTCATGGCTTTCCATAGATTGCATTGATATGCGAAAGAAATGTCAAATGCAACTACATCTATGTTCTAACCACATGAAAAATGAAAATGCCATATTTTGCAGCTTTTTTTTTGGAATTTTTTCCACTCAAACTGTATCGATTATCCTGATACATCTAACAGCAAGAATAGATGGTATATTCCATAATCATACCATTCTTTTTTGCAGCACGGAGTAGAAGCTCCGTAACAAGGTATTGTGCAGGATCACCTTCAGGAACATTTTCAATGAACCAAGTGACATGGGCAACAACCTCTTCATTGCTGAAATACTGGTAAAGTCCATCAGATGATAGTACCAAGAATCGGTCACAAGAGGAGAGCCGATGGTGAACAACAGAGGGGATGCAGCTAAGGTAAGGAGTGTTTCCCACATAGTCAATCCGAAACATCTCTAGCAGAGCTTCATTACAAGCTGGCTGAACACAACAAGTGAAAACAGCAAAGAACCAATCATTTCAAAATCAACGAACTAGCATAGAAAGACAATGAATAAAACAGATAGGTTCCAATGAACATGGTATGCAGCAAATTTGATGAAAATAGCACAATTTGATCCCATGTTTTACTCCACTATAAAGTTGCAGTATCTAAATGCAATAAAGGAAACAATTAAATGCCATTAGAAAACCTTTGGCCAAATTTTCAAATCACACAGCTTAAGCAGCTTCTTTTATAAGATATAATATATTAATTAACACCCAGTAACAGGCTTGTGATTTGGATATTGAACTGCCAGAAGAGGGTTGATGAGACCCCAGACGTATTCGAGGAGGAAGAGAAGAGGGAGGTAGAAGTATGATGGAATGACCTTTGCAAGAATTTAAATTTAAGTACACGATATTGCACACAAAACTTGGATATAGTTTGGCCGGTAGTTTAAGTGGTACATGTAGGCATGCAACTTCAAGGGTATATATACTAAACCATCAATTTGTAGATAGACGACAAACAAAAAGTTCCTACCCAACTAACCTGCCTTAAAGTGCTACATCAAGAAAGAAAGTCTTATTCAACGTGCACATATCTTGCATCACTTAGCCTATCCACTTCACATAAACCAATCAGCTGATATATTGAGCACCGCAGAAAATAAGATGGTCAACTTTATGTAATCAGTACAAGATTTTAGACAAATAACTATCAACTTCATCGCACAATGGTGGTCAAATAGTAAAATACTATAACAAGTTATCATGCTTACAAAACTGAGAAAGAGAGAGCAAGAACCAAAAGTACAATAAAAAAATTCTGTTAGAATGTATTTATTTTACAAAAAAGCATCATAGGTTTTATTATTTTTATCTTTTCTACTTATTATTAAATCTCAAATGAGAGAAAGAAAATGAATATAACAATTAAAGATCCTAACCCAACCAACCTTCTTCAGGAAACCAGCACCAAATGCTCTAGTGACTTTCAATTGCCCTTTCACCCTATCATTTAAAAAGGCTTCCTCATCATCAGGATGCTCTGCCTTTATTCTTAAGATTTCCTGCCATAAACAATCAAGAACAGGTTATTGTTTGCTAGATGACATCTAAATTTATTTCTCGTCTGACACATATAAACTTGGTGTGTTTTACCCATAGTTTTTTATAAGCCAGCTAATATCTGAAGCAATCATCCTGGAGCTTAATGAATTGAAAATTTATCGTTGGCATTCAGACTGAATGCATATCCAGGGATGAGGTCATTGGCAAAACAACCAGACCAAGGCCACTAAAGGAAGATAAACCAACCGTACGACCAAATGACCCAGCATTTTTTCAGTTCACCAACTTATAGTGCCTAGCAAGTGCACTTTAAAGTGGAACCAGTTAAGATCAAAATATCCAATAAATCCCACAAAAATAAAGGTGTTTAAGTGAAAGTGATCTGATATTATGATGCAAATTTGACTTAATTAAATCCAAACTAGATATATAAATGCTTAAAACATTTTGCTATATTCATATTCCTCTAAATTCAATTGTGAATTCCTCCTACAAATCATGTCCCATAAATGTATCTTCTCCCTGCATGTCTGTCACCCAATTTTTATATATATCACATTTTATAAGGACATATTTATGATGGATATCATCAGAAGTCCAAAATATATAAAATTCAACATATGAATAATTAAATTTTAGCCTGTTGGTAAATCAGTAGCAGACCTCTTCAATACTTGTGCTGTGGTCAGTGGAAAGCTGAACCGCTTTCATCTTCAATCTGCAAACAGAGAGGTCCCTGTTCTTGTTCAGTAAGCTAACTGGACCATGTTGGTTATGCATAGGAGACTCCTCTGATATTCTGTCCAGCTCCATACGCACTAGCAACTCTCTAGATCTATTTCTAAACTTTAAATCATCCTTTGCAAATTTTGGATTTGGATGGCAATCATTTGGTCTTTCTTGTGCCAAAATCACACGGCTATCCCCAAGGTTCATGACATATACATCCTCATCCTTCATTAACATCACTAGAACACATGATCCCATCAAAGCAAGCTCCGGGTTGATGTCAAGAGCCTTTTCCACCATTTGCATATAAGCCTCTTCAGTACTTTCGAGTGCACGAGCCATTGCTCTTAACACAGCATCATGATCAACAACTCCAGATTTGCACCTTCTAATAGGTCCTGAAGATTCAACTATTTTCTCATCCACACAAATGTCTTCTCTGTCCCAATCATAACTCCAAGGAAAAAGTTTCTTTTGTAATGACTTATGCTTCCGATATAATTTTTGCACCTTTGAACCAAACAGAGACTTTCTTGTATTCTGCCTTTGCCCTGACATGGAAGCAGCAGTTGCAGCACCAGGATTATCAAAATTCCCAATATCTTCTCTTGAAGTAGTTGGATAATCGCCTTGTATGTTAGACCTATCATCTTTCGAATTTGATGAGTTGATGCATCCTAAATTATCATAAAGCGGTTGACAATCGCATAAACCTTTTACTTGTCTATCCATTTGTGAGATTAACAGAGAACCTTGACCATCCCATGGCTCCATCTGAAGTAACTCATATAGCCGCATGCTTTTCCTGCCTTGACCAGCTAAGTTTACACGTGGAACAGATTCAGATTCAGCCCCTAAAGTGGACTTTCTATGCTTAGATAAATCCTGTTCCATGTCCCTTACATCATCCTTTTCCTCAACAATTTCATTATTAGACGATTGACCTTGAATATTTTCTTGAGTAAGCAATTCTCCTACAGTAGACAATATTTCTTGATCTGAACAAGAAATTGACTTTTCTTCTTTGCTGCAGTATAAATCAGCATCAGGATTTCTACTCCTAGATGTTTCAGGTTTTAAGGAGTCAAATCTAGATTTATCTTCATAATCCCATAGCAACCCTTCCAATTCCTTGTCTATGGCTTTATAAAGATGACACATCAGAAAATCCGGAGCATCAGGACCACTAAAACCATCATATATGCCAATAAACAGCCATCCTTGCTCTTCAGAGAGCACAACATGAACCCTATCTTCACCAGCCTTTCCATGAGCCCATTGCAAGTTGCGACTGCTTCCGTATTCCTCTTCAGGCGGCCCCGCTTCAAGACAATTCCAAGAGGGTTCAGATCGAAGCTTTGGTTCCTTAGCATGCCATACCGATCGGGTCAGTGGGTACGATAAAATTCTTTGCATCCAACCAGACCCCATTGAATGCTTCGAAAAGGTCCTTTTCATTGGTCCACTAACACTTCTCATGAATCGCTGGAAATGAGGTCTTCTGCGACCACATGCAAGCGGAGCAGAGAAATTGGATTTATCAGCAGCATCAAGTGGCCCAGACATCACACCCTTCTCAATTGGTCCAGACATAAAACCACCCCCTTTATCTAGAGGCCCTGAAGCCAACCCTCTCTCAAGAGGTCCAGACAGGAACCCGTTCAGAGGACCAGAACCACGGCGAACTGGCTGCAAAGGGATTGCAGCAAATAAGGAGGTACTCTCAAATGATGCAGCAGGCTCTTGGACATCAGTAGCAAACATTGCAATCTGATTTCCAGTTCTAGCTGTAGAAACATTCGCACTAACAGACGCACCGGAGATGGTCCTAAATGTGGTTTCTCGGAAACTCCTACTCTGTCTTTGTAGTCCTGTGGAATCCTCCAAGATATCATGTCTAAATGACCCACTTAACGTCTCAGAATCAAGGGTGCTTGAATCAATAGTAAACCTCTCAGAGTTTGATGGAGTAATGGCAGGAGACTCAAAGATCGGAGGCCTAACATAACAAAATGAATGGCCTAACCCTTCATCCAAGGGCTCTAGAAAATCTAAATCAACTCCCCTTTTTCCATTAAAAGGCACAAAGCAACCAACAACACGAGAAGTCCCATTACCCATTTCTCTTCTCTATATGAGGAACCCCCAAAGGACTACAACCTCTGGTAGGGAGGGTTTCTATGACTTTGCACCAAAAGCAAATGCAAACCAAAACCCCAAACCCCAATAAACCCTTTAACCACCCTATCACTATTCTGATAACTTAGCATCCTAAAACCCAGCAACTTCGCAGCTAAAATTAACAGATGCCCAATTCTTCCCTAGAAAATCGGAATTGAAAAGGGTATAATTAATGGCATGAGAGGAAGTAGAAAGAGTGAAAATGCGACGATCTGACCTTAAAGAGTGGGAGCTGAAGCATGAATAAACCAGCTGATGGAACATAAGTAGCAAACCAGATCTACTGGAGGAGCAAATGGACAGTAAATGGAACACATCAGATAAAAACAAAACACCCAAAATTTAAGAGTTCCTTTTGTTTTGGTTTTTGACGAAGAACCCCATGTTATAAATTAAAACACCAAAACCCAGATTGAGACCACCTTTCCTCCCGTGATTGAATCATTGAGTCATACAACAACTGTTCTAAAATAAAGACAACTTTATGCAAGTACATAGATTTCTTGTATTTATAATACATAACATATACAGTATATATATTGTGAGTTAAACAAAGGAGGGTGAATGGAAATGGAAAGGAGGTTTGAGGAGAAGAAAAGGAAGAGAGAGAGGAAATGCAGGTATTTGTTTTGATAGATAAATTAAAAGAATAATAAGAAAAAAGAAATTTAGGTACCAATAACCCTCGACCGATATTAAGCTAACTTTCTAGATTTTGATAATATTTTATTTATATAACTATCATCTTACAAGAAAATAAATGAAAATATAAAGGGGAGGCCAGAAGGAGCCGAACCTAGGACATAAGATCTCAGTCACTCCTAGCAAAACTTAGACCCGAGCATTAACCTTGGATATGGAGTGATGGGGTCTCGAAGATCGACAAGTAAAATATCAAAAAAAGAGAAAGTAAAAGTTACCAAAATAGAAATACAAGAATAAGTGAGATACCAAATAGGTAGTTTAACCAAATGAAAACATAGTATTTTATTACTATTGCTAGGTTAAACTGCATAAATGCTTACTAAATTTTTAGGATGATTGTGTTTTGGGCACCAAACTTTTAAGACTTGCAATATAGCCATTAGACTTTTTATTCGCTTTCATTACAATCACTATTGTCGGTTACCTTTAAGAAATGCTAATGTAGCAGCTAAAGTCACCTTCTTTCAAAACAAAAATTAAGTTTCTCAAACTTTAGATTAGTGGTCGTCTCTCCTCTTTTTATCATCATTTTTATCACCATTCTATAGTTTTTCAGGTCGAAAATATCATCGAACTCCTCCTCCTCCACTTTTTTTATCAAATCAAACTCGTTAGAAAACCTTCCAATATCTTCAAATCTCAAAAGAAATTAGAAATTAAAACCTTTTATTTGTCATTATCAATATTCGGATCAACTTAAAATCAAGCTATGCTATTTTTTTGTCAAACTTTAATGTGTCGCATTAGCATTTACTAGCGACAATGACTAATGAAATCAAATTAAAATTTTAGTGATTATATTCAAGTTTAAAAAGATTTGTGACTAAAATGCAATTAGGCTAAAAGTTTGTGGATCATTTATGTAGTTTACAATTATTATTATTATTTAGTATTATATAATAAATTTGTGGGTAAAGTACACAAATGGTCATCTGACTACATGGTGTTGCTTTGTTGAGTCTATTGACAATTAAAAGTTACAACCTTATCATCTAATTATAGGGTGTTGATTTATTGAGTCCCTCGACTATTAAAAGTTACAAAATGGTCATTTGATTATTCATATGTTCTAAACTCGTCACTTTCTGTTAAAAAATTGACGAGTCTGAGTTGAATGTTAACCTACTAAATAGGATAAATCAAAAGGTCATAGGTTTTGACAAACATGTTGCCATGTATTTGTCATCGTATTATCAAATAAAATAAGATAAATCAAATAATAATTAAAATGACGGTTAGGGTGTGTTTGATTCACAGAATATAAGATTATCAGTGAGAATGAGATTACCGGTGGAAATAAAATTACTATGAATGTTGTATTTTGTGTTTGATTGATTTAGCAGAAATGTAAAATTACCGTGTTTGGTTACAGAAATAAAAGATTATTGGAATGTATATTTTACCAAATTATTCTTATATATTTATTTTTTTAACAAGTTGAATTATACTATAATTTTATTATAATTAATTTATATTTTCTTTAAAAAAAATTAAATTCATAAAATTTATATAATTTTTTTACAAAATTGAAAAGATAAATAGGTTTAATGAAAGGGTAAAATTTTATTTTAACTCATGAACTTCATATACAATTTTAATTATGGATTTTTTTGTAAATCTAAAATAATTTAAGAATAAATTTAAAATTTAAAATTCATAGAATTTTTTTATTCAACGATAGAAGAATGATATTTTTGAAAGAAAAAAAATTTAAAATCATTTTGGTAAAAAACATCGGTAATCCAACAATTCCTAAGGAAATGATATAATCACATTTCTGATAATATACTCTAAAATACCACCGTTGGTAATAAAAGATTACCGTGGCTGAGAATGTTGGCCAACCAAACGGGGGAATGAGATTACATTCCCCTGGTAATCTCTAAATCAAACACCCTCTTAAGTTAAACGTTAGGGGACTTTTTGTTTTAAAATGAAACTTTTATAGTCAAAATGCTTCCGAAAAAAATAAAGGACAAAATGAATGATTATTTTAGTTGGGAGTTGATTTTGATAACATGCCAACAAAATTGACCTAACTTTTATTAAGAAAATTATATAATTTTATTTAAATATCAAAATTTAAAATTATGACATCGTAATTTAAAATTTTTAGGTCGTTCCAATTGTATCCCTCTTTTCTCTAATTAATTTTGGAGCAATTATATCATTATGACTTATAACCGTGGATTCAAAATTTATGAACATAAGTACATAACAAAAGAGATAAATCAAGAAAAAAGTGATTATATTTTTTACAAGACAACTAATATTACCAGAAGAATTAACCGCTCGCGATCATGACCAAAACAGAACATTTTTTTTTTTTGAAAATAAACACAAAACATGTTAAATCCTCAGTATTTATCTTTTTCTTCATACTTTATATATATATATTACAATATTATTGCTTGATACAGATGAAAGGTTGAATCCTCAGTTAATCTCAATAGTTAAAGAAAAACATGTTTTACTAAAACATTATAGTATCACTGTAGTCGACATTTACTAAATCATATTTTTAATCAACAAATGACAGAACAAAAAACATGTTTTACTTTTTCAATCAAGCTAATAAAAGTTAGGTCAAGGTTATATCAAAAACAGTGAACAAAATGCCACCTTCGATTCTTCGTTTGTCGTTTTGACTGTTTCATCCCTTTGATTTGCGGGGATTATATCCGAATTTTGTCTTAAATTGGAACATTGGAAATTTCGATTGCACTTTCCAAGGAATTATTAGTCTTCAATAGTATCATGGGTAAATTATAATGATCAACCTACTTCTTAATTATTGTTTTGGTTGTATTTCTGTTTCAGATTTTGTTTTGTCTAACATAGACCAACTCTATTATATATATAATTTTGATAGGTTAATCTGCTAACAGAGATTTTATATATATACAAAGTTTTGAACTCGAGATTTATTTTCTTAAACGATATCAAATTATTTATCGTTTAAATCAATCTCATTAATTAATTATTTTTAAATTTAATAAAATAATATTTAATTTTATCACGATTTTAAAAATATCTAAATCTCATTAAAAAAACTCATTGAAAATTTAAAAAATAATCAAAATATCCATCTATTTTCCCAATTCTTAATATCTAAAGTTCAAAATTTGATAATGACATCTCCTCTCCAATTTAAATTGTACTAACATAAAAACTTCCAAAATAGATTAATAGATTATCATTTGATCTAAAATCAAGGAAAAACATTAAAAATCATAAATTTATAAACTATTTAAATTATAAATTAAAAATCTAAGATTTAATTGAATTAATGTTTAAATTAATAATAACTTAAAATACTATTACTGAAAAGCCCACGTCATCAGCTCAAGTCTAGCGGGACAAACCCCCGAAGGCATGAGCCGTGCGGCGGATAATTTGAAGATTTTCCGGTGAAAACGATTATGCAAATCAAGCCTCGTCGGCCTGTATAACATACATCTCTCCGGTGTTTATTTAATCCTATGTCGAGGCCGAGGACGTACTAACCGCCATTTTTTTAATCCAAATAAATACTCCCTCCTTTTCCTTTTCTTTTTAGCCGCCCTCAAGAACAGAAGCATTTTCTTTTTAACTATTCAACCGCAAAAATGGCGTCCGCCTTCTCATTGCAGATGCTCCATAGCCCTCGCCTCGCTTTCCAGGTGAGTTATTGTTGAAACATTTTTACTTTTTCTTCATAATATAATCTCATCGTCTTTCTTTTTAATTCGTTCCTACAGGGTCAAGATGTTTCAAATGCTTATAGGCCACAAATAGCAAACTCATGGTCTGATTACTCCCAAGGTCGAACTTTTAATTATCGTGGAAGAGCCCTGACATCAAAATTAAACTATGCACCAAGACTCCCTGTTACCCAACTTTCTAAATCTTCTTCGGTTAAGTATGTGAGAATTATTTGGGTGAGCTGGTCTGATGTTTGTAAACCAAAATTTGAAAGAGGTTTGAGAATCCCTGATTTAAATGTGATGAATAGGACACTCTTGGAAAAATGGACTTGAAGGTTTACTATTGATAGGAAGGCGATTTGGAAGGAAATGCTTTGTATCAAATACAAAATAGACTCTTCTTTAATGCAGTTGACATTAATGTTTCTCCTAAATATTTTTGGTTATGGAGATCTATGGTGAGTAATCATTTTAAAGCTGATTCGATGGGCTGTTTAATCAGAAGCAAATATAGTTATAAAATTGGTAATGGGAGGAATATTCGGTTTTGGCAAGATACTTGGGCATTGGATCATCCTTTAATGGTCATGTTTCCTAGACTATTCCCTATTGCAGTGAACAAAATTTGAAAATTATTTCAGTTTGGGGAATATAGCTCGTGGGGCTGGTTTTGGAACGGTCAGTTGAGAAGGGAGTTGAACAACTGGGAATATGAGCAATGAACAAATTTGATGGCTGTTATTTTAAATTTTTCTATTTTTGTTGATTACGTTGATGGACTGTTTTGGAAGGAAACTGAAGACGAGGTTTTATCTGTTAAATCATGTGCTAATCTATCTTATTCGGGTATTACTGATTCGGAGGAAGCTAATTTTTGGAAGACTATTGTTTGGAGGGGCCTGCTGCCTCCAAGAGTGGAGACTTTTCTTTGGCAAGTTATCTTAAAGAAGCTGGCAATGAAGACAGCTCTGGTCAAGAGAGGTGTTCAGGGCATAAATGATACTTTATGTCATTTTTGTAATCTAGTAGAAGAGTCTCCATCTCATTTATTCTTCTCTTGTTCGAATTTTCAGTCAGTTTTTCATGAAGATGCTAAAAGATTCCTACTAGCATGGGCTGACTTGAAGGCCAACTCTCTAATTTTGTCAATTATCCCTGGAGTAGTTTTATGGACAACTAGGAATTCTTTAGTGTTTGAAGGAGGGAAGCTAGATTGAGCATAAATTTTCTTTTTAGCAAGGTGTAGACTTGCTTCATGGTTTTTAGTTAAGAAAACTCAGATCTCTATCTCCAAGGATGCTCTTATTGCTGACCCTTTCTTAGGGGATTCTTGCTCGTCCCATTATAATCGGATTTCAACTACGTTTTCTTGGTCCCCTCCTCCTAAGGACTTTACTAAACTTAATGTGGATGAGGCTACTTCTAGTGATTGTAAGAGGAGTGGTTTAGGTGGTGTTCTAAAAGACATGTCTGGTTCGATTCTTGGCTCCTTCAAAGAGCCTGTTGGCCCGGTGCCTCCAACTTTGATGGAATTAAAAGCTATTCTAAAGGGTTTAGATTTTTATGAATCTATTCGCCATAGGTTTAAGGATCGGTTGATTATCGAGAGTGATAATAGGATGGCAGTTGGCTGGGTTAAGGATGTTTTATGTCCTATTGTTTATGCTCATATGTTAAAGACAGTATTCAAAAGCTTAGTGTTTGTGAAGGTCTTATTAGATGGGTTAATAGGACAACCAATATAGAGGCAGACATCCTAGCTAAGGCTGGCATTGGTTGATAATTTTGTTCTGTTAAGGGTTGTTTCTTTTTGGTTTTCTATCTCTTTAGGGAGATTAGACTTTGTATTACTATGTAATTTTCTGATGTTAATGAAATCCTAGGGCACTCTTTTCATCCTTCCGCTGATTAAGGAACTATCTTTAAGTTTCATTAATCATGAAGGGGTTTTTAATGAGGCCTACTATTCCTATAAAAAAAAGTATGGGAGAATTGTTTTCAAGTCCATTCCCAATGTAAGTACTTTATTATCAATTTCTGCACACTTCTGTTGGTTTCCATTTGGTATAGTTTCCATCGGTCAAGAACGCTTAGAGATTTCTGGGATTTTGTTTAGGAAGTTGAGTTGCAAGCAAAAGTGACAACCAAGTGCTTCTTTGATGTCGAAATTGGAGGTGAAACTGTTGGTAGAATTGTGATGGGTCTTTTTGGGGAAGTTGTTCCAAGAACTGTTGAGAACTTCCGTGCCCTCTGCACAGGCAAGATAAGCTAAGAATCCCATATCCACTATTTGCAAGCTTGGTGTTTTGTTTCCACTTTTTCAGGGGAGAAAGGGTATGGTTACAAAGGATGCTCCTTCCATCGTATTATTAAAGATTTCATGATCCAGGGTGGTGATTTTACTGATGGAAATGTACATTCTCCATTTCTCTTTTGGCTTTCTAAAGATGTATTAGTATCTTTTCCAAAGAGGAACTTCCCGTTGCTAAGTTTCGAAGATGAGAGCTTTGCCTGTAAGTTGTAGAATGAGCCTGCTAAGCTCAAATTTTGGGAGTTTCATTCTGTGTTGTTACGTTAATCTATATTCCATAATGAACTGCTCTCCCCGGGTTATGATATTTTGAGCTTTTTATCTGCGGTGAAGCATGTTGGACCTGGAGGATTAAGCATGGCCAACGCAGGTCCTAATACCAATGGGAACCAATTCTTCATTTGCACAGTAGAGGTGAGTTAGCTGTTGCAGCCTTAATTCCTTTTATTCATTATGTATCTCATGCCTTATTCAGATTTGATATGTATGATAGTTATTTATTGGAAGTGCGTGTTATTATGAACTTTGAGAATCAAGAATGTGTAAATGTTCACTGGAAGAGTTAGATTTTGCCTTGTGAGTCGAGTATATCTTATTAGTTTCAAACTTTGAATCGATTACTTACCTTACACTCTTATATTCCGCTTATAGCCGAATACTGACCAGCTCTGCTGATATTTAGCTAATTGATCATGTTGCCGAATCAGTTTCAACACTCAAATATTCATATGCCCCAGTTTTTTTTAGCTTTAGTTTTTTTTCTTTTTGAAATATTTTGGTTCACCCTTTGTCCCCCTTGGCTCATTGTGTTTTACTGACAGAAAACAGAAGAAAAACTGAAAATTGAAAGAAAGAAACGCACGTTCTTATTTTCTGATATCACGTAACAGTAGAAATATGTTAGTAATCAACTCCTAATGAAATACTCTACTGGAAGATAATATAGGAAGATAAAGTTTATCCAGAGATAAAAAATCCTAAAACAGTATGTACTCTTAATAGCTCGGCAATTATAGTTAGGACTCTAATACAATTCAACATTTACGGACTCCATGGCTGGACAATCGGCATGTTGTTTACTGACACGTTATTGATCGAATGGATGTTGTGCGCAAACTAGAATCCCAAGACACAAGCAGGTCAGATACCCCGAAGGTGCCATGCAGAATTGTGAATTGTGGGGAACTACCATTAGAAGGCTAACTGCCTCCACAAAATCATGGAATGCACTCTTTTTTTTTCCTTCTCTGCAGCAGGATGAGTTTACCTGATAATATGTAATTTCTGAGAGAAATTTGGATGATACTTTGTAAGCTCTTGACATGGTTGTACTGCTCTTATCAATTTTAGGCCAATATAAGCCTGAAGATTTTATCAAAGCCTCATAATGGAACATCTGAGTTTACTAATTTTAAAACATTTCCTTCCCATTGGTATTTTGTTGCATAAATCTGGGTTTAAGACATGAATCTTAAAGATACATAACATTTCTTATATTCCAAGTACATGTGGATATTAGTTATTTGTAAGTTCTCTATATTATAAGCTTAAACACTTTCTCATGTACATAATATAAAAAGGACAGCTGCCCTTGAAAATCAGTTATATTCAACTTTGAAGTGAAATGTATGCAAGGACCACGGTTTCAATTGCAGAAGATTGGATAACTTGCACCATCTGCCCCTCTTCACCGCCCCATATCTCGGCTATCACTTCTTTGGTATTACGAATGTTACGTAAGGCATATTCTGCACCGGTCACCAGGACAGAGTTCCCGACCTGCCATTGTTATTCTAGCTTGTTAGCAAAGAGTGCCAATGATTTATGCAGGTTAAATGAAATCATAGCTTGCTATAATTGTGTGAAGCCCTGTTGCTTTCTGTTTTTTCCATTTGCAATGTGGAATCGATGAACATTATATAAAAAAAAATGAGTTGAAATTCAGAAAGGCAAGGCAATCTCGTCAATATCAACCACGGAATCAGAGAGAGAACAGTCTCAAACACTTGGGTTAAGGGAGGCCCAGGAAGACTGGAAATAAATACTAGGGCTCACTGAGCCAGAAGCCTCCACGTCTCCCTCCTTTCTTACTCCGCAATTTCATGGACACAACAAAACCCACGTTGCCTTGAATGCGGTCGAAAGTTGAAACTCGAAACCTTCGGTTTAGGACACAATCACACAACACTGTTTTATTTTCGTTTCAAACCTCTCGCTGTCTTCAAATTTGCGATCTCTTTGGCTTAGTAAATTATAGTTCGTAAACAAATCAAGGGTACAAATTCGCTTTTTTCTTCCCCAGGAGAAAATAGATGATGCTTTGAATTAAACGCGCCATGAGTTCTTTGAATCAGCTAGCGCGGCTCGTGAATGGACTTGCCTTAGTCGCTAAAGAGTTTGCTAAACGCTCCCAGACGATCGAGCGCGCCAAAAGTGGCGATCTCGAAACCCTAATAGTTTCTTCCCTAAAAAACGCTCTAGTTTCGGCTACGGACCTGACGGGCTTAACTAAAGGGAAGGTACGTGAGTTTTCCAAGCCTGGGCCCAAAGAATCAGTCGTCTACTTCAACAGCAACAGTGACGGCGGTGGCGAAGACGTTGTAAATTCTTCCTGGAACGACACCGCAAGTGCGGGCCTTACCATCGATGAAAAGGTCGATTCTGAGGAAGGCGTTAGTCATAACGGTCAACCGATTGTTGAGGAGAAAGTTGTTAATGATGGGTTGGAGAGAGGACGTGAATTCAATTCGGACAATAAGAGCTTTGTGGACGGTGCCGAAGTGGTGACAACGACAGCAGATGCGCCAGTACCTGTGAAGAGACGGAGGCCAAGAGAAATGAAGGTTCCCGCTACTCCATTTTCTAGAGCATTTGGGTAAATTGAGTGTATTTCTTTTAATGTTTTATCATTTATTGCTACTGCTAAATTATATGTTCCTTTTTTGCTACTTTTCTAACTAGTTATTTGTTTAACATCAAAAGCTTTGCTGCATTAGGAGCTGGTCTTGCTTGGGGAACAGTTCAGGAATCTGCCAAGAGGCTTGTTTATGGTTCTCCAAACTCAAATGAAAAGCAGTCTGCTGTTTCACCATTCTTGTCCGAAAAAAACGCAGAAAGATTGGCTCTTGCATTATGTAGGATGCGTGGGGCCGCTCTTAAAGTCGGACAAATGTTAAGCATACAGGATGAATCCCTTGTTCCAGCTCCGGTATGCTGACTTATGTTATTTTCCCCCTGCCGTTATCCGTATGTGTTACAGTGATGTTTAATTAATTAATTTGGTAGTGGGGGGAAGTTCATTCTGGGAATGGTATATTTATGGTTCTTTGTTGAGAATCAATTTAAGAATATGTGTTGTTGGAGGTTATGGTTTCTATTTTCTGGTTTTCTGATTAAGGTTAATTGCCTAAAAGACTCTGTAGAGTGCTCAATCATACTTTTACCTACTCCCATTTGTTGTAGATATTAGCTGCGCTGGATATTGTGCGTCAAGGCGCAGATGTGATGCCAAGGAGCCAGCTCAATCAAGTTTTAGATGCTGAACTTGGTCCTGGTTGGTCCACAAAGCTGACTAGCTTTGATTATGAACCCTTGGCTGCTGCAAGTATAGGCCAGGTAAGAAAAATGGTTGCATGTTTATTTGTGTTGTCATGCTGACTAGGATGTTCCCTATATGCTTTGTCTTTAACCTTTTAAGGCAGAATGTTTTTTTGTCTATACGTTGCTCCATTCTACAAAGAGTCTTTATGTACAAAATCTTGTATCTACAAGTGGACATGTTAATATCAATTACTCATTTTATTTCTGGCATTGATGTTATTTGGGTGGAATGGATCATTGTTTAATGCTCTGGCATTTATGTTCTTTTCAACCTTCATTTGTGTTCACTGGTGTTTTATGTGATAACTGCCTTGTGCAATTTAATTTGTCCCTGGCAGTTTGATGCTTGTTACTACTTACACATGGTTTCCTTCTTTTATATATATAAATTCATTTTTTGAGTTTTCTTATGCTTTTCGGCATTTAAAAAATTATCATGATTTTTTGTTCTTCTACTCTTTCTCGCTTACCCATCAACCTTCTCTGTTTCATCATTTCAGATGGGTGTTCACTGGTGTTTTATGTGATCATTTAACTGCCTTGTGCAATGCCCATGGCAGTTTGTTTGATGCTTGTTACTACTTAATGGTTTGCTTTTTGTGTATATGAAATTCAGTTTTTAAGTTTTTGCTCATAACTATCAACATTTCAAAAATTATCATGCTTGTTTGACCATTTACTGTTTCTCGCTTTCACATCAATGTGCTCTGTTTCATCTTTTCAAATGGACTATATTGCTCAATGAGGTAATTTGGATGAAACAATTGTTGTCCAGTTTGTCTTGTAATGTCAGTTTTAAACTAGCCTACTTTTTTCCTTTCCTAATTCTAGGTTCACAGAGCCGTCACGAAGGATGGTATGGAGGTAGCAATGAAAATTCAGTACCCTGGTGTGGCAAATAGCATTGAGAGTGACATTGAGAATGTCAAACTTCTATTAGATTATACAAATTTAATTCCTAAAGGACTGTATCTTGACAGAGCAATGAAGGTACGCACTTATGCATTTGAACTTGCATTATTAAGTTTCTAAGAGACTATGTCAAGTAAAGGATTGGCATTCCAATGCCAGTTTAATGATGGACACTTACAGATATAGTTGAGAATCTTTCCCTTGCATTGTCTGATCTTTATTCCCACACCTCTTAACTAGTTTTGGTCATACTTTTTCATTCCCCAAAATGGCTGCTTTGTCTTGTATTTTAGTGCTAGAGATTTTTGGAGGATTTCGTCTGGGGCTTTTGACAACAGAAGATTCTATGTTGAAAAATTGGATGTTTATGCAGTTGAAATCTTGCAGGTGGCTAAAGAAGAATTGTCTCGTGAATGTGACTATCATTTGGAAGCATCCAATCAGAAAAGATTCCGTGATGTGCTATCTGACCGTGAGGGATTTCATGTTCCACTTGTTGTGGATGATATTTCAAGCAAAAGAATTTTGACCACAGAACTTGTTTCGGGTAATCATCGTTTGGCTTTTAGGTTCCTATTTTGCTTAAAGCATCACATTTGGATGGTATGGTGCGATTTTCTCTAAGTTTTCAGAGGATAAATTCTCGCAACTATATTAAAGAAAATATTTTAGCTGGAAAATCTGATAGATCAAGGCGCATAAATCTTATCCAAGTCTCCAAAACAGTTTCTAGTTTACAGCGTTGATAGAATTATCTCTTGAATTCTATTTGTTCACTTTGAAATGTCATTACTTGCTACAGGAGTTCCGATTGACCAGGTTGCATTGCTAGACCAAGGAACTCGTAATTATGTTGGGAGAAAGCTGCTGCAACTGACATTAATGGAGCTTTTTGTATTCCGCTTTATGCAGGTTTGCTATTTTTAATTTCTTTCTCCTTTTCTAAGAGGATTTTGTTTACGTTTCTCTCTCTTGCCTACTCTGTACAAAGCATTTACACCCTGAAGGTTTTTTATGCTTTTCCATCTAAGGGTTTGGTTACATTTAAATATAATGAAATGTTTTGGTTAGGTTAGTTCTCAATATTTTATCTAAGCCTGATGCAATCTATTCAATAAGAATATTGACTTTGTTTTTAGTTTTTAGATAATCTTCCGGCCCTTATTCTCTTAAAATGCTGGTTTCTTTTATTTTTGAAGTATGTTCGCTGTTGTGTCTTAAACATTTTACTTCTTGTGATACAGACTGATCCTAATTGGGGTAATTTCCTATTTGATGAGGCCACCAAAACAATCAATCTCATCGACTTTGGAGCAGCCCGCGATTTTCCTAAACGATTTGTTGATGACTATTTGAGAATGGTCAGTTCCCTTAAAAAAAGTGCATGTGGCATCAATTACATTTCTGCATGAATGGGCAGAATCTGCCGTTTACATTTAGGTTCTAAATCAGCCATTTATTTGCCTTCAGCCTTCATTGATTATCCTGTTAGAGCTTGCATAAACCTCTATTGATATAGTTTGATCTTTGGATGACTTTTCTCCAAGTTTCTTAATGCTATGAGGTGTCCGACCTTTTGTTTGGACACTTTGTTGAACTTTAACCATCTCCAGAGTTGGTTTTCCATATGAATGAACTGATTGTCCTTGTATGTAACTATGTATTCAACCAGGTTATGGCTTGTGCAAATAACGACAGAGAAGCTGTTACCGAGATGTCACAGAGACTCGGATTCCTCACAGGAATGGAATCAGATGTAATGTTGGATGCTCACGTTCAAGCTGGTTTTGTTGTGGGATTGCCGTTCTCCAAGGCCGGTGGCTATGATTTCCGCTCAACTAATATTACTCAAAGCATTTCGAACCTCGGGGCAACGATGCTGAGGCACCGCCTTACCCCACCCCCAGATGAGGCCTACAGTCTTCATCGAAAACTGTCTGGTGCTTTCTTGGCTTGCATTAAGCTAGGGGCCGCAGTACCGTGCAGGGAATTGTTACTTGAACTCTATGAGCACTACCATTTCGGGGACGATGAGGAGACTTTATCAAGTGCTGCTTCAGTACCTTGATGATGAGATTATATAGTTTCCAGATTTTGATTGTCCGACACATTTGTAATAAAACTTTAGGGATGTAATCGGCCAAAGTGCACATCCCATTCAGGAAAGCACCCCAGAAAGGTCCGAGGCTTAGACAGAGAGAAGAAAAATGTGCGTCAAGTATTTTTCATTTTTGAAACTAAAAATCAAATTCTTAGATGAATAATCGTCTTCTTTACTTAAACTCCCCATCTTTATTAAATCTTCCTAAATTGTCTTATCACAAAAATCCTAAGAGGACATCATGAAAAAAAAATCAAAACCCCAGAAATTAAAGGAAAAATATTCAGCACTACTATACTAATATCCAGATACACATATCCAACCTAAGATTGACCATAACTAATAATCAATTTAAAATTTTGTATATTTGAGTGATAAAAATAATTATTCATAATCAGATGAGTACATAATTGAGCTCAATCATCGGTGGCGGATTGTCAGCGAATTTAGGGATGGCTTTCACTTTTTTTTATACATAATTGGTAATCATAGTATTATTTGAATGCAGTACAGCAGGGGGGAATCTGTCCATGTCTGTCCTCAACTTCCTTATGCTCTGTTTGGTCCCTAAATAGTATTGCTGAACTTGTCGCATTACCCAACCAATGTTCTTTTCATCCCCATCTAAATTTATTAAATCAAAATATTTTTATTTTCAGTTTGTCATATTTTAATTATTGATTTAAAAATATAATAATATTATCTTATCAGTTTATCTCATTTTAATTAATAAATCATTGTTAATTTCAATTAATTTAATGGCGTGAGACGTTTAAAAGAAATCAAATTTTAAATTTAATTTCTAAACTTTTAAAAGTTTGTTTTTCTTTATTTTCACGTACCGATAAAAACTTTTTCTCTAAAAATTTACTTCTCTAACACAAATCCTAGTCTTAAACTTGTCGTCGTCGTCTTTCGTTCATCCATCAGTCAAAACCACCATCTTTAACCTCATTAATAGCAGAATTTGATAGTGGGAGGAAATTAAACTGTAATTATTTTGAGTTATTTTTGTACGTCTTTTGTTTGAACCTCAACACCCTCGCACTCTCATCGTCGTATGTTGTGTCAAAAAACGCTCATCTTCATTGAATCTCACGTCTTCATCGTTTGTCTAAAGCCCGAGAGTCCCTCTTTGCGAATCCACAAAACGCTATTGAAAACCCCCTTCGATTGTCTCTGCTCCACCATGTCGTGCGTCATCCTTTTTCCTGTAGTACTGAAATGGATGACTCCATCTACTCATTCCTTTTGTAAATGTGCCCTATGTATTTTTGAATCATTATGTTATCGAGTCGGTTCTTGAAATATTATATTATTGAGTTAATGCTTAAAAGTAACGACGGTGTCAATAAATATTATTAAAAATATGATTTTATCATATCTCAGTATCATCAAAATTTTAACGAAAAAAAATGTAACATATAAATAGTTGGGTGATCATTGTGTAACTTTTAATAATCGATGGACTCAATAAAATAATGTACTATAATCAAAAGACTATTTTATATTTTTTAATTGTCGAATGACTCAACGTCCTATAATCGAGTTCACTCGAACACTTTAACCATAAAATAAATAAAATTTAAATTTATCATTCTAATAGTTTACTCAAAATTATATAAAGGGTAAAGTATACAAATAGTCCTCAAACTTTTAGGGCGATTGTATTTTGGTCACCCAACTTTTGAAACTTGCAATACAATCATTGAATTTTTAGTTCATTTTCAGTAAGGTCTCTACCATATCATTACCTCCCGTTAATTTTTGCTGAAGTGGCACTTAACTCCAGTTAACCCCCGTTAACTCCCATTCTTCTTCTTCTCTCTTCACATTCTTTGATTTTTTTTCCTTCGTGTTTTTCACTTCGAAGAAAGATTGAAAGGAATAAGGAAAAAAATCAGAGCCCTTTTCTTTAAGCTTAGTATCTCCTGACATGGAAATGAATAGAGCCATTTTCTTTGGTTTGAGTTTAGCTGGGGACATAGTTCATCAAGACAATGTTGCTCCAAAGAGACCCCATTATGCTAATTATTTTGTTCTGGTGATCTAGCAAAAATCCCTGAACTTTGTCTTTTCTTTTCATGTTCCTCAATTTTTTTTTCTTAGAGTCTATTTTGCTTTTGTGAAAATGGATGAATGATGAAATCTTGACTTTTGCTTTTGTACTTGATGTTTGATTAAGATTTTTGTGTGTGTGTAGATTATTAATTTAATTGTCCATTTTTAGGATTCATTTGCTTCAAAATTTGACTTTGTCTTATAGTTATTGTATTTTTGTAACAATATATAGTTCTTGTTTAATTGCTGGAAAATGGTGGTATTTTTTTTTGTTTTAGGATATGGTTTGGACTTTTGGTCTATATAGGAAAAAGAGTTAACACTGTTTTATTTTTTAATTGCTATGAGTTTAAGCTTCTGAAGAAGAAGAAGAATAAGCTATGGGTTTAAGTTCTTGAAGAAAAAGAACCAATTATGAGTTTAAGCTCTTGAAGGAGGAGGAGGAGGAGGAAAAGGAGGAAGGTTAACAGTGTCAAGTGCCACATCAATAAAAATTAACGGAATTTAACGGCAGGAACTTTACTCAGAACGAACTAAAAGTTTAATGACTGTATTACATTCAAAAGTTGAGTGACTAAAATGCAAATATCCTAAAAGTTTAAAGATTATTTATATATTCTACCCTTAATAAATTGTATCTACCGACAAAAGTAGTAAATTGTCAAATTTAAATTAAAAGGAAAACAGGGGAAAGAAAAACAAGTCATACAACGGTCTCTTGTGGCTCACCAGGCAGTGAAGTCACTTAACTTTTGCAACTTGCCTTCATTTCTGCTGTTCTTTCCAAAAATGGGGTTATCGAAACCATACCTGAAATTTCTATCCAACCATACCATCCATTTCCATTAAAAAGGCGTCCACTTTCATCGTCATTCTTTTCTAAGTTGTAGCTCTCTTGCAAAGCTTTTCAAACTCGGACAGAAAAAAGACATTGTTTCTTTTCAACTTTGGTTGGTAAAGTTAGCAGGAAAAAAACAAGGGAGAAAAAGAAAACGATGAAGCAAGTTTTGATATGGATTTTAAGTTTGTGGACTGTAATTGGGGTTGGTGTGAGCCGATCTGAAGCGGGGTTGGAAGAACTAAACGCTAAAGAGAGATTACTTTCGTTCTTGGAAAAAGATGCTGTATCCCCTGGTGCCAACTCTCTTCTGGTTCCCCTCACTCTCATTCAAGGAGCTGCTTCAAAAGGAGCTGGTAATTTCAGAAACTTAACAGTAAATGCCTTGAAAGTTTGGTTCTTTCTTTCATTTTCTTCCTTTTGATGCCTTGGGTTTCACAGTTTGTTTGGACGGGACGCCTCCCGGTTATCATCTGGACCGTGGGTTCGGGTCTGGTTCAAACAGCTGGTTCATCCAATTGGAGGTTTGGTTAACAGACTTCAACACTGCATAATTCTAATATCGATTGTAATCCTTTTTGGCTTAGATTCTGAAGCCACTTGGCATTTCCTATGTTAAGATAGAACCTTTAGTTGTTTGATTTCCTTATGGATGCTTGTTTTAGGGAGGTGGATGGTGTAATACCATTCGAAGTTGTGTCTTCCGCAAAACTACTCGACGTGGTTCATCAAAATTTATGGAGAAGCAAATAAACTTCACTGGAATATTGAGCAATAAAGCTGAAGAAAACCCTGGTTTGTACAATTTGTAGTACCATCTTAACCTTTTCTTTTAGAACAAGTATTTATGTTGAATTTTTGCATGGGGTCTCTTGTGTTCTGCAGATTTATACAACTGGAACAGAGTGAAGCTACGTTACTGTGATGGGGCATCTTTTGCTGGGGAAGGACAGAATGAGGTATGCAATAATAGTTTTTAGTATTAACCTTTTGCAGCATTATCCTGGACTATATTTAAGTTGCTCGCTACACAAATATCCTAGTTCAGTGTAAAATTTGATTCACTCGATGCTTATTTTGCTGAGCAAAAACAGATCTATGCTTATTTCCGATTATTAGCCTTACAACTAATGTTTTTTTCCGCTGTTTTCTTAGAAGCTACTGATGAGAAAGTTCATTGATGTGGTAATTGTAAGCCAACTCTAAATAGACAAGTGGGGATTTTCTTTAAGAAAATTTTGGGAAGGGTGCGAGAATAATGTCAAGTTCTTTATAACTACTTAGTTTATGAACAGATTGTTTTTCTTCTGTAGCTTGTATTCTATGTAACTTTTTACTATCTTAATTTGGTGAAAATTCATGGTATTCTGTGATTTTGCTTCCAGGCTAACCAACTTTACTTTAGAGGACAAAGGATCTGGTCTGCTGCTATGGAGGAATTAATGGCCAAGGGAATGCAGAATGCTGAGCAGGTTTTGCATTTAGCATTTTTTTTCAGTTTTCAATTAGTTCCGGATATCTAATCATTGTTAGATTTGATTGTGCTTCAGGCTCTTCTTTCTGGATGCTCAGCTGGGGGTCTAGCCTCCATTCTTCATTGTGACGAATTTAAGGATTTATTTCCCGAAACTACGAAAGTAAAATGTCTAAGTGATGCGGGCCTGTTCCTTGATGCGTAATAAATTATACACCATTCTTTTCCTTTTTGGTTATAGTAGGTTAATATCAATTGTAAAAGTAGACTAATTCATGGTTTTCATTATCTATGCAGAACCAATGTAGCTGGTGGACATACCTTAAGGGATATGTATGGAGGTGTGGTTACCCTACAGGTCCCGCTTTTACACCTATCTTGGATTTCTGGATTGATGAAAACTCAATTAATAAGTAGAACATAAGGTTTCGTGCATAAACCTTGAAGATCATGTAAAACTTCAGTGCTATTTATCTGAGATTCCCGAGCAATATATCGATATTTTGTGGCTCTAGTTTTTTCGAGCTAGTGCTGTTATGAATATGCAACATTTAGTTATGAAATTTTTATCTCATTGCTTTCTACTGACTAAACAAAAGTTTCTATGAAATATTAGGGTGTCCAAAAGAATCTTCCACATACTTGTACCAGCCAAATGGATCCAACTTTGGTAAACATCTCCAGTTTCTTGA